GTCGCTCAACTGCAACAGTTTGGATGGAACATCATCACCCATCCACCCTATAGTCCGGACTTGGCGCCCAGTGACTACCATCTCTTTCCAAAGTTGAAAGAACATTTGTCTGGAAAGCGCTTCAACAACGACGATGAGGTGAAAGCTGAGGTTCGAAGTTTCCTGAACAGCATGGAGGTGAACTGGTATGACATGGGCATACAAAAACTGCCACCGCGCCTACAAAAATGCATCGACCAAAATGGCGATTATGTAGAGAAATGAGTACATGTTCAAGATTCAACTGATATATCCAAAATTGAAAATAAATGTTTATTTTATATTTTCAAACATAGGAGACCTTACTTTTGGAATTACCCTCGTACATGTGTGACCTGTTTGCTCCATCATTTCCTTGGTTTCATGAGCTATTGCAGCATTTCCCCATCCTCGGATCTTGTCTAATGTGGTTTCATGGGCTTTTATTGCAGCATTTCCCCATCCTCGGATCTTGTCTAATGTGGTTTCATGGGCTTTTATTGCAGCATTTCCCCATCCTCGGATCTTGTCTAATGTGGTTTCATGGGCTTTTATTGCAGCATTTCCCCATCTTCGGATCTTGTCTAATGTGGTTTCATGAGCTTCTGTTGCAGCATTTCCCATCCCCGTTTCTTGTCTAACGTGGTTTCATGGTTGATACGTTCTTTCCTTTTCCCAAATGCTCATTCTTGAGGATTCCCAGATTGTGCTCACCTACTTGCCAGTGGCAAGTTAATAGAGATTGGTGGGGATTACTCTGTAACTTTGGTGTAAATGTATGGTCAGTTGGATGTTGTTGAGTGACTTGTAGAAGTCAGTAGTATTTTTGGAGCCCTGCTTGTATGTACTTCAATACAGGTATTCCATGCCAAATACGAGCTGGTATAGCGACTGGCTACGGGCTGGATGATTGAGGGGTCAGAGTTCAAGTCCCAGTAGGGTCAACAATTTTCACTTCTCCAATCTTCCAGACTGGCTCGGGGGTCCACCCAACCTCCTATACAATGGGTACAAGGGGCTCTTTCCCAGGGGTAAAGGGGCCAGGGCATGAAGCTGACGACTCACCTCCAACTGGTGCCGATGTCAAGAAAATGTTGATCTATACATCTTTATGGCGTAGTGCTTAATTAGTTAAGCACAGGGATAACTTTACCTTTTATTTGATACAAAATCAGCAAAATTTGCTGGAAGTCTGTGGCAGCTGAATTTTTATTTGTTTGAAACTAGGTATGACAAGTTAGGTATTTTGTTGGTGGTTTTGAAGACAGAGGATGCCAACGTTCATGTGATGCCAGGTGTTCTCACATCAGTTACAGAAACGTTAAATGTACATGTACCACCCCCCCCAAAAAAACAACTAATGGAGATTTTGCATGGAATGTCCCAGTGTGCATTTTATGTCAAATAACTTAAACCTCTGAAATTTTGTAGCTCTATATATGTCTTAGTGATCTGGTCTGTGTATTAATTAGTGTCAACCCATTTGCATTGGTATCAGTAAACTCAGGTACCTTAAAAGTTTAATCAGTATACACAATAGATCATTGTAGGTCATGGTGCAAGGGCCAAGAAGGCCCAGCCCTTATACATTCATTCATACACTTAATGTGTGTTACTGAATTACAGCAATAAAGATGTTCGTTAAGTTAGTTCAGGTACATAATATAAAGATTATATGATATTACTTTATGCCTTTAAAATAAATATTTTTACAGTGCTGTCAATAGCTAGAGCATGCTGAAACCCCAATTTAAGGTTTGTGGGGACAAGCTTTTTGTACCTTAAATGGGGTTCGGAAAGCAGAGCTTAAAGTGACTGTTAAAAAAAGGTAGCGTCCCTGTGGTTTAATTAATTAAGCACTGTGCCATTTGATGACATATGGGGAAGTGGAGGTATAGCTCCACCATTCTTGAGGTGTTAAACTTAGTTAAATCAGTAATGTCACTAAATCTTTGTTCATTTAATAAAGTAAGTTTTTTCATTTCTCAGAATGTGCCTCGTAGCAGCTTTCCTCTTCAAGAATTGAAGCTTTCTGTAGAATTATGTTACATGGTATTGGAGGCAACACAGAAATTTTGTAATTTCATTTTCTGACAGTTGGATTCTTCTCTGTCTCCTAAATAATTTTTCCGCAAGGGTAAAGCAGCCAGGGCATGAAGCCGATTGCTCGCCTCGATCCATTGCCAAGGTCAAGTATGGTGGAGCTATACCTCCAGTTCTGAGTATGTCTTCATGGATTGGTGCTTAATTAATTAAGTACAGGGACAACTTTATTTTTCACACAGCAGAAGTCACTTGTACCGTATCATGGTATTACAGCAGCATCTTTAGGCAGATTCAGCACCTGCCACGCACTAAACAGAGGAATTGTGGTATCCCTTATTGTCCCCCCATTTCAAGTTTCATTTTGTCTATCAGGGCAGTCATATTTTGCAAAATAAAATAGAACTCATTTTGGAAATACACATATTCCATATTGGAGTGCACCTTTCCATTGTTGTCACTGCTGGACTCTGTAGTCTGTGTAGTTTTGTAGATATACTCTTTGGTTCGTAACAGACATCTGAAGTATAATGCTGAATTCTCATTGCAGGGTCGTGAACTAGATACTCGGGTGACCATATACAAGAAAACAGATGAGACATACCAGTTGAAACTGAAGTCTTCACGAATGTTCTACAGTGAAGTAACCCACAAACATGGTTCCATGCCCTTCAATCTTCGGAACTTTGAGGATGAAAAGAAGGCCAAATTGGCCGTTGTGGAATGTGTGAACCATAAACTGATTGAACCCTTTCAAGTACTGTATGAGAAATTTGGTATGTTACTTAATGGAACTGTTCGTATATGCAGTTTGTATATGACTCAGAGTCCTATGGCCAAACTGAAGTAGGTTGTTTAAACAATTTGGAGCAGAAAATGTGGACAGACAGTTGTTTGTTTCGCCACTGTTTCAGAGTTACAGCATTTCATGATGGAGCTTTTGTACCATTACAGAGACTGCAGTCAGGTTTGTCTTGTTCGGCTTCAAGCCACAGAGCAGTGATAAAGAGTGATAACTTGAGAGGCTGTGCATTACCAATGCCGGATATGCTGATATGCATTTAGTGTACAGCTTTCGTGATGGAAATGCAATAGTTGCGTCAAGGAAGCACCAGCATTGGCACTCGGATCTGAGGCAACCTAAAAGACATGTTAGCAAGGATACACCCAACTCCCAGGAAGATGGGTGCATTGAGAGGAGTAAAAAGGTGTTACATGCCATATGTGGGAGCCAGGATAATGCATTAGGTATAGTGACTGGCTGCGGGCTGGAAGGCCGAGAGTTCAGAGTTTGTGTCCCGGTAGGGGCCACATCCAGACCGGTTCTGGTGCCCACCCAACTTCCTGGCCAATGCATACCTGGGGGTAAAGCAGCCAGGGCATGAAGCTGACCTTTCACCTCCAACTAGTGCCAAGATTAAGAATATGTCACTATATATCCACTCCCCTATACTTCCTTGTGGTGCAGTGCTTAATTAGTTAAGCGTAGGGACAGATTTGCCTTTTATCTTATGTGCTGTACCTGCTAATCCATTGAATAGTGCATGTTTGGTTGCATATGAAACAGGCTTATATAGCAGTTTGGCCCGACAGATTTATCCCTCTCATGTGCAATATATTGTGACACACATGCCCATTGCTAAGCAACGGCTTGACAAATACCTTCTCATGAAGACAGATTCTTGGTAAAGCAACAATAGAAAATGTCCATTGCTGGGCAATGGACGTGTTTTCTGTGCTGTGGTCTCACCCAAGGCTGTATAACCAGAAACCCAGGCTGCCTAGAGAGAGAGAGTATTGGATTAGTGTAGTGTGGTCAGAAGTCGAGAGTGTCCAGTTGAAGATAGTAATTTGTGGAATGTTGTAACAAGTTGTATATAGGTCCAATAAATTCGATCATCAAATCCAAAACCAGTTTTACAATTCATGCAAACCCCCGATTCGTGACAATATGCAGGGGCTCCAGCAATGGAACATTGAGCTTTGCCTCCAGTTCTGTCAGTGTCTTCACAAAACTACAGATGAACCTGGCTTTTTGTGTTGTGTATTTTGGACTGATGGGGCTATATTCATAAGGTGCAAACAGCAAACATCAGTGGGTACTGGAGAGTCCTCGTGCCACTTGGTGCTGTTCACTTCACCAATGATTTGGCACTAGCATTTTGGCTTGAGTTGTATATGATTACCTGATTATACCAAATTGGTTAGTGGATCGTCTTGCTGGAATCCTTTATAATGGTTTTCTTGAAAGAACACTTTCCCTTCTTTTGGAGGATGTGTCCCTTAATGTTCGTTATGTCACATGGTTTCATGACAGCCCTTCTCCCTACTTTTTATGACAAGTGTAATTGGTTAAAAAACCATTTTCCAAACACGTGGATTGGCCATGGAGGTCTGTTCATCTGGCCTCTACCTTCTCATGTGAATTCATATGCTGTGGAGATGTAAGATAGGGACAACCTGTGTAGTTGCATCTTGATAGTCATGACAGACCTTGGGGGCCCAACCTAGTTAAATGATGTGTGTCAGGGATTGCATTCGACATTGCTGTGAACTGTGCATGCAGGTTGGGGGAAATGATTTTGAGCAGTTCTTGTGTAGATGTACATAGGACTGCATATCAGTTTCAACTACACAGACGTGTGTCAGACATAATGTAAATTTCAAAATGAATGAGGTAATAACTTTGGAATGTGTCTGAGTCTGAGTCTTATGTTATGACTGACAGTCAGCTGGCCAGTGTATCTTGGAATAAAGCATCCATCTGGGACTTATGTCCAGATTTTTATTACTGTCAGACAGTTGTGGGTTTGTTGATGTGGGGTGGTCTCTGATGAGGACTGGTCTGTCTTTATAATTGCTGTTCGCCCTCACCGGCACATTCAGTCTTGGGTCCAAGTCCTGTGGGACTTGTAACCATATTTTACTACCTCAGATTCGAGACCTCCTTTTTCTTTGCCTCCTATGAGTCGCAGGGCTACATTGTTTGCTGCAAATAATCTGAACAACTGCATATGTTTTGACCATGGGACTTTGAATCACCCTATGTAAAATATCTTAAGAATTTCTATGCTGTCATTGTTATTAGTTACAAATAGACTGAAAGATGACAGCCGTATATGGCGGCGACTTATGCCTCAGCAAGTATTGCAGTCCTTGCTTTTGCCACATAAGGTTATCTTTATCTAGCATGAATTTGTTCTGTTAAAGTTGTTCTTCCAGAACCTCTGAAGTTCATAGGGATTTCAGTGTCTTTTAAGGACCATAGTGTGTGTATGAGTGACTAAACAAAAGGATTTCCATGGTAATTGATGAGGGATGGAATTGTCAATGTTTCCCACTGAAGCTTTGGTGTTTTTATCCTTATCATTTAATATAAGAGCCCAAAACTTGGTCTTCTGTTAATTTGAATGTTAGGTGTCCTGTGTTTTTGTGTTATTTCTCAATCATATTTTGTAAATCTAATGGCCTGTATTGGAGACACACAGTAAAGTAGTTGGATGAGGTACTGCTACAAGCCCGAAGTTTGCATATTTCATTCCCAGTGAGGTCATTGGATTTTTTTAAATTTACCTAATACTCTCAGCTGCACTGACTCCACCTCTAACAGAAATGAGTGCCCAGAATTTTCCTGTGTGTGTATGGGGGGGTAAAGGGCAGCCAGTGCATACGGCTGACAACCTTACCCCAATCTGTGAGCTGGTTGTCTAGAAAATGAGGGAGCCTCAGTATCTCACAACCCTATGGGCCTCCACAGCCTATTACAGGGATAGCCTGTATTGACTGTTGTCATTGTTACCAAGTTGGCATGTCTGTTCTCTGCTGAGAAATGTGACACAGTATACAGTTCTTTATTAGAGTCTGTCGCAACACAACAGTACAACGGTCAAGGCCAAGATTGGCTCAGATACATGTTTCGGCTATTAAAGCTATCATCAGACAAACACATGATTACCATATACACACACTACTGATGGCTGATGATGGCTTTAATAGCCGAAACATGTAGCTAAGCTAATTTTAGCCTTGACCTTCGTATTGCTGTGTTGTGACGGGCTCTAATAAAGAATTGTATATAATAACACAACAGGATGCAAGAAATGAAAATTATAAATGTGACAAAGTATTTATTGTATTTTCAGGTGAATTCGTGGCTCATTTCAAATTTACAGTGTTACTTATGCCGAATGGTCCACACAAGATAACTGGCCTTCCGTTTGAGCCAGAGCTCTACCAATCAGAGCACAGTATCAGTGATCCAGAATTGAAGGTTTGTAACCTGTTGTGGTAAGAACAGTGTACCATCCTTACAGGCTTCAATTTTATGGCTGTTGAAGCATGAAATTTTTCAGCTGTGGTGATGGTTGCAATTTTCATAAGGTTAGGAATAGGCATTGTGTGAGAACATGTTGAGGAGAGTGATTGTATATGTACATTTTTATTGTATCTGTGTGCTCCTACTCTGGTCACTTATGCTTAGTACAAATATTATGTTTTTGGACATTATACATAGGTAAATCAATAAGTAAGTTACAAATGGATATAGAACTTAAACAAATAAGAGTACTGATTTGAAAAATGCTTTTATTTCTCAACATAATCTTCCTGTACATTGAGGCACTTGTCACATCATTTCACAATCCCCTGAAAACCAGCAGCATAAAATTCTTTGGGCTGCCGTCAGAACCAGGCAGTGTCTGGGATCACGAAGGCATACTGCTCACTTCATTCTAGCATCAAGGACAAACCGTAAATGCTGACTCCTACTGCAACATCCTCAGGAAACTTCGTAAGGCCATTCAACAGAAGCGACCAGGACTCCTCACCAAAGGCATGTTGCTCTTGAATGACAATGCATGTCCCCATACTGCCAACAAGACAAATGAGCTGCTGTGAAATTTCAAGTGGGAAGTCCTCGAGCATCCTCCATATAGCCCTGACTTGCTCCAAGCGACTTCCATTTGTTCGGCCCTCTTAAATATCTTCTTTCAGCTGAACATTTTCCCAACGATGAAGCTGTAGAAAAGGAAGTCACTGCCTGGTTCTGACAGCAGCCCAAAGAACTTTATGCTGTTGGTTTTCAGGGGATTGTGAAACGATGTGACAACTGCCTCAGTGTACAGGGAGATTATGTTGAGAAATAAAAGCATTTTTCAAATCAGTACTCTTATTTGTTTAAGTTCTATATCCATTTGTAACTTACTTATTGACTTACCCTTGTACATCATCATGTCTTTACCTAAAAACACTGGTGTGTTTATACTTCAAAACACGTCTTGGAGGCTGGATAGGGACTTACTTGCTCTGTTGATTGGGCCCAGCTGAGTAGATTATACCTGAGAACAGAGACAGAATCCAGTCTCTGAAACGTGTTTTGAAAAATAAACAGGATGATAGTTTTAGACAAAGACAGGATGATTGATAATATCCAGAAACATAATATTTGTACTAATGTACCATCATCACAAACTTCTAGATCTAACTTATGCTTGGTTTCTCATGTGTGACACATATTTGCCCCCCATTTTTCCATGTTTTCTTAGTTATTCTCACATACAGTAAAGCCGTCATTTAAGGGAGCAGCAAATCTGAATACAAAACTGAGGAAAATCATGGACATAATTCAGCACTGAAATTATTGACTTGCAATTATTGAAATTTAGTGCTAAATGAGGGATAACCTTAAATTTGGGATTTCTATATGCACTTGTAGGATAACTTGTAGAAGTAACAATGTGGGCTGTATGACCTTGTAATCGGGGTTCAATTTCTGGCAGGGGAGATCTTTTTCTCTTTTCCATAGCCTTGTATCCAGTGGGTATTGCAGGCTTTTCCCCAGGGTGAAGTGACCAGGCTGACCACTTGCTTCCATCTTGTGCCGAGATCAAGTATACTTGTGTTAGCTGACAAACACATACTGTATACTTGTCAAGTGTGAGAGGATTGGCAACATGTTTTTAGAGAGGGTGCACGTGCATTTGTATGTTTATTCACTTCACCTTTGAATAAAACATATCAGTACTGGGGGCAGACAGTAGCATAGTTGGTTAAAGGACTGTGCTACAAGCTGGAAGGTCGGGGGTTGAATTCCCAATGAAGTCATTGGAGTTTTCAGTTGACCTAATCCTTCCAGCTGCACTATGACCCTGGGTTCGATTCAGCCTCTAACAGAAATGAGTATGAGAAATCTTCCTGGGGGAGGGATAAAGGGTGGCCAGTGCATAAGGCTGACAATCTTGCCACCACCTGTGAGTTAATTGTCTAGAAAATGTGGGAGCCTCGACATCTCACAACTCTCTGGGCCTTCATGGTTTGTTACAGGGACAGCTCAGTGTTTTTATATCAGTAGTAGTAATGAATTCTAGGTATGTTGGTACTTTGGCATGCCACATGAAACTTGACTGAATTTGTGTTTGTGTTTCAGTCACTACTGAACACATCAGCCAATCCAAAGTCAGCTAAGAAGAAAAAGAAGAAGGCTGAGAAGGTGACAGTGGGAGAGACAACATTGGAAGTAGAAGGAGAGGCATAGCTGAAGCAAGGCAAATTGCAGTTTGTCACTTTCTGAACTATAAACCTCATTCCCATACAACTCAGTGAACTGGAAACAGGATTGACCCATCACAAGCAAAGAAACATGCAAAAATTCCAGCATAATTTTTTTTATTTGTCCTGTTTGAGTAATTCTCTTTTCAAGTCAAGGGGTTCACTTTTAGGGGGAGTTGATAGGGATTCAAATGGTTAGTTTTGAAATGTCTGGGAAATAGGATGTGTTTCACAAGTAGACCAAAACAAATCCAAGCAAATTTCAAGGAACATTGAGGCATCCAGAATTCATATATCTCATTCATAAGTTTGTGGAAGAATAGAATATGCAGTGATAATATTTTTGTTATAACAAAGATGTAAGTTAAGGTACATCATATTCTCAGTGCAACAACTACGAAAACTGCTTCATCTGAGATGTGGCTTTGTTCTGTAGATTGTTACCAGCATTTTTGAGGAACCTGATGACTCCATCTTCAGGGTAGAGGAGTAAGGGAATGTCCTTTTCACTGTTCTTGTTACTCCTGCTCGTTCACTTGATCTGATCATCCCTTTCCATGTCACACCAGGATTCTCCTCTCTTGCTTTACCCCTCTACTCTGAAGATAGAGGCAGCAACTTCCTCTGAAACAGTGGTATCCCAGATAAGATGGTGTCATATCTTTGAAAACTGTAATGGTTAACCTTAAGTTAACATGAGTACAGTACACTTCAAATGTGAGACACTTACGTGAAAGCTGTTTTTAATTTGAGACACTTACCTCAAAGCTGTTTTTAACTCTTTTCCTGCAGAGCTTACAAAAAATACAAGGTGCATGCACTGACACCAGTTAGTACAAAACTTTTATTATTTTGAGTTCAAACTTCATGGCACTGTCTCTCTTGTGTTTATGCTGAGCTTTATATCTGGGAAAGGCAGGACATCGGTTGACTGTAGAAACTGTCATCACCATTAATTTTTACCTAGAGATGTAGAAATATAGCTCTGTTTATTCACATTGTACCATGTTGTGCAAGTGGTAAGGTGCTTAAACAAACACAGCTTCTTTTGGATGCAAACAGATTAGAGAAGTCATAAGTAACCTTTTATTTGCCGATCATGAATCTGGTGTTGAATGTAATAATTTGCAAAGGCAATAAATTTAAATTAAGGATTTTTCTCCTCCTGCGTTTATGCAGCGAAGGCATTTTGACCTAAGAAAATTTGTGCAGTGAAAGAGTTAAATGCGGTTGTGACCAGGGCACAGTGAACAGGGTTCATAGAGTATTGAACAAATGTATTCTGTGTTTAGAACACAGCACATTATAACCCAGTTGATTTGGTGCACGAATGTAAATAAGTTACTGATCTTCCATGCAATACAGTGCACATTATCCCTTCTGCATTAAAATAGTACAATGCAGTCGTGTTTCAGCTTCCTGAAAGATGATGTAGTACTGGACATTCCTGTCAAGCACCCAGCAGTCATTACAGTTAAAACTTACTAATGCAGAGAAGCTGCTAGCAATGCCTTCAGTTGTTATTAGCGGGAGATTTTGTTATCACTGGGAAAAGAGAAATGAGAAGTTGTGGGAAGAACTGATCACCTGTTTTACTTTCACCACATATTGAGTACTTGATATGACACAGACCACAAAGAAAGTATTATGTCCAACAGCTCTTCCGTTGTTGCACATGTGTTTGGTGCTGCAGTAATGTGTTCACCAAGCTGCTCTGTAAAATTGGCTCCATTATTCCAGCTTGGGTGGTGGGGGAGACACCAGACAACAAGGTGATCTCATAAGCCTACTTTTATTTATTTATTAATTTTTTTTTTCCCAAAATAAGGAATGTAAACTACAAAATTGAAATGCTGAATACTCCTTGAAGAGACATGAATAAAATCAGTACTAGGCTTGAATATTTCTGGGTAAGTTTTGTTTATAATGTGTAGGCTACAGGTTTCTTTTCCACTAACAGTTGGAACTTCATGGCTGAAACAGATGGGAGGACAGTCTTGATACTTTGCCTCAGTGGCTTAGTGATCAGCTCTAAGATGTTGATGCTCTAGCAAATACATACTGATAAATAATGACAACATTATGGAAATTTGGACAGTTACTAGGAACAAATCTTGTACAGTGGAACCCAAATTGAATGTTCATTGGTTCAGGGTTTTTCCTTATTTGATGTTTAGTTTAATTGATTCTAAATCAGTAATCTCAGATTACTTCCATATAAGATTTTCCTCAGTCTAGGTTCCCAGAGACATCACAGATGGTAGTTTTACTATATCCTGTTTCTAAAATAGGATTTTATTAATCCTGTGTCTCAGAGACTGTCCTCCCATTGTCTTCTCGTCTGGCCAGAGGCAAAATTAAAAATCATGACATTTTCTGTAGAAAAAGATGTTTGATACTCTTCACTGAAATGTCTGGTGTTTTTGTGTATGATTAGGTGCACTGTTTTCATGTAATTTTCAGATTGAAGGAGATGGTAAGCATAGTGTGAAACAAAAGGATGTTAGGGAGGGGAGCAGGTCTCAAGAGAATTTCATAAATAATTGTTTTACTTAATGATGCTCAGTCATGAGAATGGAAGTATGCAAGTAAGAAATTTTAAACATTATGCTGTAACATGTGTTGACAAAACCCTCATGAGAAGGGGCACAGATATCTACTACCGATTTTTTTTTTAGTTTTTTACATGTAGAAATGAAATTTAAAGATAAACTGCCTTGTAATATTTGTAACACTAAATGTGTTGTCCTAATGAAGAGAAATTCTTTGATTTTTTTTAAGTGACGGTTCCTGTTTTGGCAGCTTTGGTTCATGTGATGAATGTTCCTATAACCTTGGGATGTGAAACCAAATGTTGCATTTAAAACATAATTTACTTAATTTTTACAATTATTAGTTTAGATGTACTGCTATCACTGAATCGAACAGTGCATGTGTGAAAACTGTATTGTCCTCGGCGCACTGTATCACCCTCAAATTGAAATACACCATTTAGCTAAATCAAGTGGGAGGCATATTTAAATGTGTATAATTGATGATGCATTGGAAGGTATCTGTAAGAATTCCATTATTATGTTGTTTATACTACACTACAGCAACTGAAGCATTGTTTCAGGTTTTTTTTGCCAGCATTTGATAGTCATTCAATGGATCAAGAAGTTCCATACTTCTGCGGAAGCTCAAGATTTGTTGCTGACACGCTGTCCATTGGATCCTATGAATTCCATCCCAGCTGCCATTCTGGTAATCTGTCAAATCACACAGATGCCTGATGTATTTCAATACATTTTCTGGATGTATTGGGTATCTGTGGGATAGCCATTCTTTCCTCTTAACCCTTTAACCGTTTCCGGTCGTCGCATTTGGAAAAATTTCTGCAGCCAGGTTGTCAAGGAATTTTAAATCCCTACAGAGCCACTAAGCAAGCTGTTTTGCTCAAAAAGTGAAAAAGCAAAATGTGTACTTCCCAGCACAATGCAAGAAGACAAATTCTCTGCCTTGTAGTGATGTATGACAATCAAGTGTGGAGAGAGGTTGTAGTGTTTTACTGGCTAAGCTGTTCTCTAGTATAAAATATATGCATATTACTTTCTTGTTATAATTATCACTTACACTTCTATGTACAAGGTGGTTCAAATATGACCGGGACTGATTTTTTTTTAAACCAAAATTGCCAAACACTTACTTGCACATGTCAGTCTTCAACGTACTCCCCTCCGGAGTCAACACATTTTTTCCAATGTTCTGGAAGCATCCTGATGCCCTTTTCAAAAAAGTTTTGTGGTTGGCGGCATATCCACTCCCGAACATTTTGGATGACGGCGGTGTTGTCCACAAACTGCATGCCTTGCAAGTCTGATTTGAGCCTTCCGAACAGGTAGAAATCACTTGGTGCCAAATCGGGACTGTACGGCGGATTGCTGGGACTCGGGAATGAAGTAGTGCACCCACGTTTCATCGGTGGTCACTATAGACTTCAAAAATGCATCACCTTCGTCTTCAAACTGCTGTAGGAGACGACTGGCAACTTGCATGCGCACCATTTTGTTCACGTCCGTCAAAGTGAGTGGTACCCACCGTGCATTCACCTTGCGATAGTGCAGGTGGTATTTCATGATGTCTTCTACACTACCAGCACTGATGGACAGCACTGCTCCAAGTTCCTTGATAGTGATGCGCCTATTCTCACGAGTAAGTGCGTCTGCACGATCAATGTTTGGCTTGGTGACGGATGTTCGCGGCTGACGATCATGTGGTTCATTCTCCACGCGCTCTCTGCCCTCTCTGAAGCACTTACACCACTCAAACACACAGGTCCGTGAGAGACACTCTTCCCCATACTGTTGTTGGAGTCTGTGGTGAATTTCAGCAGACGGGACGTTTTCTCCGAGGAATTTGATCACAGTGCGTTGTTCCACGCTCCGCGGTACCTTCTGTTCGCTCATCACTAGCAACTTCCAGACAGGACTGAACAGGTTCTAACCCTAACAGGAGGGAGGGTGGAGGTTGTGGCTTCACTCTCTCAAGGTCACACAGCTGCTGCACAGTGCAGCTTGTTTACAAAAAAATCAGTCCCGGTCATATTTGAACCACCTAGTACACAAAACACAAAAACCCAATAAACTATAGGACTTACACTAAAACTTTTTGAAGTTCTTGAGAGTGTGATATCTTTTGAAACATTCCCGAAGACACATGGCCAGTTGATTTTTCTGGCTCCCTTGACCTTCTGATTGCTGCACACAATGCAGTTTTTTTTTTTTTTCATATTGGCAGAAGGAGTGAGGTGCTGTATTTAGCCTCTCTCCTCTCTCAACTAACCCCGAATATGACCTCTTTCTTGGGTTGCGCACATTGCCTACTAGATTTTCAACAAGAGCTCGTTGATACTCGACATGACATTTGTTTCACTCACATGTATACCTTATGGCTGCTGTACAAAATGTATGCATTAGAATGCATACTTCCAGGCACCAGAAAAGGAGTTTTCTCTGCTGCTTCATAGATTTACGAATGAAAGCATATGTTGCACACTAATGATCGCTGCGATCTACACCACCCATATGCTTTGCATAGTCAAGCGCACACAATGGCTTTTGAATTTCTTTCTCCTGCCCCCTTTCTGAATGGTCACTATTTTTTCCATTGATGTGTCATGATATGTAGACATGAGAACCACCACCCTCTTGTCTTTCCAGCCCATTAGGACATTCCCTCTTCTGTAGGCAAGTGTGCCCACCCTTCATTTTCTTGATGGCCTCCTTCCTCAGTGGTTTTGGACTGCCAACTCTACCAGCATATGAGTGCCTGTTGTGTGGTGTTTTTGATTGTCCAATTCTTGGGCCAACTTAATCTGTCAGTGAAGAGATGGTAGCCTTCAAATACACTCAAATCTTGTCTGTCCATCAAGGAAAGAACTGTTCTTGAAGTGAAAAGTTTTTCTGAGTGTGGCAAGTTACACATGTTAGGCCGAGCCATAGCTCAAGCGGTTAGTCGTTGGCTTTCCACCGTGGTGGCCCAGGTTAGATCCCAGGTCTGGTCAAGTTGGATTTGTGGTGGACAAAGTGGCACTGGGACAGGTTTTCTCTGAGAACTTCAGTTTCCCCTGCCAATCTTCATTCCACCAACTGCTCCACAATCACCCTCACCTATCATCTGGGGCTGGTACAATAGGCCAGAAGTGGCCGCAGTCCCACCCCACTAGCAATAATATACACATTACCTGTAAGTTTCCGTAATACAGAATTATAGTGTGAACATAACCAGTGTCACTGTCAGCTTATAGAAATAATCTGTTGCCCCCACTTCGTAGGTTCTTTTGGATTATAAGTTTTGAAAATTACTTTGCCCTTGAACCCAATTGTTAATTCATTTATTGCAGTGTTTTTACCTGGCACAAAATATTTCTGAAACTGTTCTCTATATATTCTATCACCCCATGTACTTTCCTTGTTCTTTTGATGGCCTGGTTTCTTTATTCAGTGGTATAATTTCCTAAGTGAATTATCCAAAATATCTGCAAAAAGCAAACTCTGGACATTACATTGCCAAAAAATGGTATCTGTTTTGCCTACTCACTAGACCAATAGTCTTTCATGTCAGGTAATGGCATTAGGCCCATATTTATAATTAGACCTAAAAACGCCTTCATATCAGGAACTGACACAACAGACCAAACCTACTCCAAATGGACCTCGGGCTAAGCTGAAGTTCTGAAATTTTGTGTCTCGCATACCTGTGTGTCTCTATAACAGTGTTATTCCAAAGCTCGTCCTTGAAAAATAAACTAAAATAATCCATGGGCTCTGCATCTGGTAGGTTGAATTGAGGCCCTGCATTTTTAGCAAATATGTCCAAAGTGGCTCTGGGGTCCACCCAGCCTCCTGTCCAGTGGGTGTGAAGCTGACCATTCACCTCCAGCTAGTGCCATGGTCAAGAAAATTGTGGATCTATACATTCATTCCCTCATATGCCTTCATGGCATAGTGCTTAATTAGTTAAGCACAGGGACAACTTTACCTTGTACATTGCACTACATGTTAAATAAAGTTGTCAGTCTGTAAGCAGAAAATATGCACACTAATCAGACCAAATATTGAACTGAGAGACTTCAAGATACCCCAAGATCTGCATGTCCCTCCATTTAAAAGTAAATGTATGGTGTTGAAGAATGTAAAATTATGTTGGATTTTAGGTTCTCACAGTGGTGATTGAACAGTCTGTGTTATAACAGTGTGCAGTATGGAGAGAGCTCAGTGTTTCGGAGGGCAACTGGCCTGTCTCCAAACTGCACACTGTTATAATACAGAAGCAATGCAAAATTGGTTAACCCGACATTGTTTGTGCGGGCCTTTCAGTGGGACCAGAATAAATTAGGAACTGCAAATCGAAGATATGCTGCATGAGCTTGGTCCGCTTTCTCACGAACCCATTTCCTGTATATCAGAGGTGTCCAACTGGCAGGCCACCGCTTGGTTGTGTGAGATCTGTAAGATTATCGAGTTCCTAAAATATGTGTTAACACTTGCCTTGTTTAAAAAGGCAGAGAATCTCATCCAAAGCAGTTTATAGGAAGTGCTTATTAAATATCGTGTAATTTTTCACTTGAATTTAAATGACTCCAAGGTCATGTGCAATACTGATACAATTTTGCAGCATTTTAGTGGCTGATTTTAAGTACTGTGATCCCAGTGTCAGTAGTTTTAAGTTTCTGGGTCCGTATATTTATGTGCTTATGGCGCACAGATTAGATCATAGTAGGGCACATATTTGTATTAGCATATTTTTTAAGAGTTCTGCTGTGTAGGATATAATGTGATACATTTCAGAGGAACATGTCATGTGCCAGAGATAACTCTTCATAACCACTGCTGCAAGATCCTACAATATATTTTTTACAAAGCTCATTTCAGAACTACTCTAGACACTGTTGAATGTCCAGTATACGCTACAGGTTCCTAAACATGTGGCACTGGTACTCAGTGCAGATAAGTGAGGAGTAATTAATGATAGCATAGTGTACTTGGTATAGGGACTTCCTCTGGGCTGGAGTTCAAGTCCTGGTAGGGTCAAGAAATATCTCTTCTCTGTGGGATTGTCGATACTCCAATAGACAACCACTGCGGTAGATAGAGTTTTATGGCCGTTCGGCTGGTCTGTCTGGCCAGTAGAAATAATGTCTACTGCGGTGTGTTGGCTAATGTTGCGGCAGCTGAGTTAATTGTCCAGTTGCCAGAAGTTGCGTGGTCGCAGAGCGTGGTTGCTGGAGTGGCGGCAGCTGTGCCAGTTGCCCGGTGTGTTGGGCATGACTGCCAGAGAGCCGAGGCAGCCGTCCCTGACACAGTGAAAAGCCGATGACTCCAAAGACTGATCGCTCTGGACTAGGTGTAATGGCTGACTGGCTGATGTGGTCACTGATGATTGCTGGGTTGGAGCTGCTCCTTTTATACCATGCTTGATAGAGGAGCGAAATTTGCAGTTGCTATTGTGAGCGCTGATTGGCTAGCACAGCAAGTGTGTATAAATACGAGTGCTGGCAGCAATGTGATTGGTTAGCGCGCGTGATGGTGAAAAATGAGCCGGACAGCGAGCGCTGTATAAATATGAGAGCTGACAGCAATGTGTAGCAATGTGCCATGGACTTGGGAGTGAGTGTTGACTGTTGATCGGCGAAACAGCATGATAATATGTGGGATGTTCCCATATCTCCATGTCCAGACTGACTCTGGGATCCATCCAGCCTCCTGTCAAATGGGTACTGGTAGCTAATCAACTGGAGGTAAAGTGGCCTGGGTGTGAAGCTGACCACTCACCAACTAGTGCCAAGGTAAAGAAAATTGTGGATCTATACATCCACTCCCCCATACGTCTTCATGGCCTAGTGCTTAATTAGTTAAGCAGAGGGACAACTTTACCTTACCAAGGTAATGGGACAATCAGCGTGGGTTGACACTCCCACCCCACAAAAGAAGTTGGATATGCAGCCTCGTATCTCAGATTATGGGATGGGAACCTCACTGACTTGGCATACAGAAACCATAAGTCAGTAACTGGTGGCAGAAGCCAAAGGAGAGGGAGTTCTGGAAGATGATCAAGACCCAAAAACAGGTTGAAGAGCGTGGAAAAAGAAGATGAATATTCTGCTTTTTATTACTTGATTTGCATACTTTCACTGTGGCCGGTTTTCTTCAGAGTATAATTTCAAGCAGAAGTAGGCCATTAACATTTCTGTTGTATATGTATGACTGATACCTGTTCACTAGGGTAGAGAATGCATGGTGTATAATATCTGTCCATGAACTATGGTAAGCCTTATTCCAGTATGAGATTTCTTTGTTGCATGTCAGTTAGGATCTCTTAAGATTCATCTTTTAACCAGCAGTGGTATTCCCAGAACTTTTCTATGAGTATCCTTTTGTTTGTACTTCAGAGCTGTACAGTGTTCTGTTATGTTTCTCCAGGCCATATGACAGCTTCGGAATGTACTAGTTATTTCTCAGATGACAGCAACATGTTGAATTCTCATGGCTCTCTGAAGGTAGTAACAATGTATGTTGTATGTTAGGGCAGTGTTTCTCAAATGGTTGGGTGGCAAATGTGGTCCATTAATAATTAATATTCTGGGATCCACCATGTCTTCTATTCACAGGGTACCAGCGGTTCTTTCCCCGGGGGCAAACTGGTTGGGGCATGAAGCTGACCACCCATGTCTAATGCTGAGGTCAAGAATGGTGGAGCTATACCTCCACTCAGCCATGTCTTCATGGCATAATGCTTAATCAGTTAAGTACAAGGCCAACTAACTTATTCATGGAGCCAAGTCCTTGAGAAGCTGCCAACTGTGCAGCTACTCAACTTCCCAGCATTTTATGGAACTCAAAGGTTCATTACCATGTTCACAAAAGTCCTTCACTGGTCCCTATCCTGAGCCAGATCAATCCAATCCATATCCCATCCTCTCTCTCAGATCAATTTTAATATTGTCCACCCACCCATGTCTTGGTCTTCCCAGTGGTCTTTTTTTCCTTCTGCCTTTCACACCAATAACCTATATGCATTCCTCTTCTCTCCCATTCGTGCTACATGCCCTGCCCATCTCATCCTCCTTGACTTGATCACTCTAATCATACTTGGAGAAGAGTGGAAGTTATGAAGCTCCTCATTATGCAGTTTTTTCCAGCCATAATTGTAAAATACTCTGAAAAGGATGAGCATCATTTTTATTGTGATGGGATGCAAGATTCAAAACATTGAGGATTACTGTTACAGAACACTGAAAGACTTAATATATGAAGCCATGTTCAGAATTCATTTTATTAAAATAATGTCACACGCACACAAGTTTATCACTAGTACATTTTTATTTATTCGCTTGGGGGGGGGGAGTCCAACTGGGTCCACTCGGCCCGGCGGCCACTGATAGGCCTATTGTAGCCTGTCCCGGGTGATTATGATGATGGAGAATTTGGTGGAATGAAGATTGCTAGGGGAATCCGAAGCATGTGGAGAAAACCCACCCCAGTGCCACTTTGTCCACCACAAATCCCACTTGACCAGACCAAGGATCGAACGTGGGCTGCCGCAGTGGGAAGCCAGCAACTAACCGCTTGAGCTATGGCACAGCCTTTATGCAAGAATTCTACTGTACAATTCAATTTATTACTACGACTATAACAGCTTTTATTACTTGGAAGTTTCCTGGCTTTTGGTTGTGCTAGTGTTCTTCTGTTTACTCTGCTCCAGTTGCCTTAAAACATATTCATAGCCCTGTTTACTCAACTCAGCCGTCTTATTGGGAAGGTCACTCAAGAATACAAACGATGCAATTACTCCTTTATTCCAATAATTCTTTGTCAGGAAGGAGATTTCTTCTACCTTTGGCAGTTCTGGCACCTGAAAATCAAAAAGATATGTTCATAAGACAGAAAGACATGCAATGGATCTGTGTGCCCTGTGTAGCTGAAAAATTAAATAAGTGAGGACAACATTTAAGTTCCTTCTAGCACACAACTTATTCACCTAAATTTTGGAGTTTTCATTTTTCTGTCTGTGTGTGTGTGTGTGGGGGAGGGGTTATCCAGGTTACCTAATAAAATCCCTTCCTTAGATTTTCTTAAGTGCTTAAAACAATGGAACAGTTGAAAATAGCTGACATTCATATGCTTTCTGTTTCCCCCTTCTTTTCCTTCCTCAAAAGAAGTGCATATGTATGCAACCGTCTAAGCATGTCATCCTGTAACATTTTTCTCACCTTGTAATTTAGTCACTTCAGAACTATGCCTCTCATGTTTCAAGAGGTTCCATTTTGTGAAGGGACAGATTTCTGCAAGAAATAAGTGTCTTGCCCTTTGGCACTGACTTGCAATGGAGGTGTACGATCAAGGAATTATTACTGAGGAGCTTCAAAAAAGAAGACACATAAAGAAGCCTAGGAAGGAACTTCTCCATGAGACTATTGTATCCCAAATAATGGATAATGAGATTTAATGCTTGTGACTGCGCTCTTTTGCACTTTGCCCAAGGGACTATGCAGTTACTGCTCACCAGCCTCCCTGTCATAATACTGAATTATTTCACCTGATCAGTTCTCTTTACCTAAAAGGGCACATTTTCAAACTGGGACTGACAGAAAACCCAACGTGTGAAAGGTGCCTACAAGAAGATGAATCAGCCACGCACATCTCATGTGATTGTGAGGCTATAGCTTATCCAAGATATCGCCACCTGGGTCGATTCTTCATGGAACCAAGTGACTTTTATGATGCCCCCATAAATAAAGTCCTACATTTCATTCGAAGTGTAGGTTTAATAAAGGGTTAATCCAAAGGGGAAGCACAATGGATCATTGAAGGTCGCAGTAGGAGGGCCAGCTTTTATGGCTCACCCCTCATACTCATACTCAGTTCTCCTTCCTTTCCATTTCCATCTTGTGGTTTACATACTATACTGATGCCATGGAAAGATGTCCCAAGGATGGCAGGGATGATGACACTCAAGGTTTCCCAATTTTTACCTATTCTATTTCCCTTTTTTGCCCCTCTACCCTAAGTCAACCAGCTCAACACATGCAACTAGTCAAGGTTACCACTGCTTACACTTGTGTGAACAGAATTCCTAGACAACTGGAGAGAAAGCCATAATACCTCCAGTGAGATGTACTGACAGATTCTCACTGGCTTACCATCTTATCTGCAACACATCCTTCTAAAACTTAATTAAAAGTTTCTAACATACACACAGTGCATTTATTTAAAAGCTCTTGTACATGACTGCTGGAGTTCAAGTCCTGGTAGGGTCAAGAATTTTCTCTTCTCCACATCGTCCATACTGCCTCTGGGGTCCACCCAACCTCATATCTAATGGGTGCTGGGGGGCATGAAGCTGACCACTCGCCTCCAGCTAGTGCCAAGGTGAAGGAAATTGTGGATCTATACATACACCCATACACTTTCATGGTGTAGTGTTTAATTATTAAAGCACAGGGACAACTTTACCTTTACCCTTACTGACAGATTCTAATCATGACACTTGCAGGATGAGGGAGGAACGGATGACAGTAGACATACCTACTGGTCACTACGGTACTTGTGTAGTGCTCAGCTGAGCTGAACTAAAGCAATTGTGTTTGTAGCTCTACAGAGCAGAGCATTATTTCAGCAGTGAAACTGACACTGAGTATACTTTTTTTTTTATTGCTAGGGGGGTGGGACTAAGTCCCTTGCACTGCGGCCACTTCTGGCCTATTGTACCAGCCCCAGATGATAGGTGAGGAAGATTGGCAGGGGAAACTGAAGTACTTGGAGAAAACCTGCCCCAGTGCCACTTTATCCACCACAAATGTGGTGGCTCAGGTAATAGTTGCTGATTCATGCTGCTGCGCGTCTTTAATGGCTCCAGCTTCCTGCATTCCTCACAGCGTGCAATGTAGATGCAGTGCATCTGCGGATGGTCTTAGTACAAGTTTACTTGCTAGACACAGCAAAATAGGACTACAGCAGTAACCATGAAGAGTTCTGACTTCTGGGATGCGACACAAGTTCACAACTGTTTTGCAGAACATATTACCTGCATTTTCAGGGTTGAAGAATGGGTCAAACAACCAGCAAGAAACATAGCCTTGTTTGCTTGGCATACTTTTCATACCTGAAGATGGAGGCAGTATATTACTCTGAAATGTCAATTAACTAGACTACACATCCCACTACTGTATCCCAGAAGGCAGTACTCTTCACAGCTGTCAAAACTGTAGAGTCACACAGGATGATGGGACAGAGAGCACGATACATGACCTAAATGAAATGTTATAACTGCTGCTTTATACTTACTGAAGTTGCTGTGTCTATTAGGCCTCTGTTATGTCATCTAACTTGAAATGTTTCCTTGGAAAAAAAAAGTTGTGTTCCATCCAAGATGGTTCCATTGAGACAGGAAATATAGTGCACTTCAGTTCCTTGTAGAATCTTTACTTATAGACAGATATCGTGTGATCATCTTAAGAGTTTCTTGCAAATTGTTGAGCTGCTCAAGCAGATGAGCCTGAGGTTCCTCTCAAGTTGGGTCACAGAGGAAATGTTCTCTGGTACTGGACAAAAATGAAACTGGATTGGAACAGCGAGTGGTCACTGAAGGGAAACTGAAGTTTGTGTTTTGCTAATCATTTACTTTGAAAATACTTCAAGTGCCTTGCACAGGATAGCAGGATTAGAGTTTCCTCTGTTTCTGAACAAGAACTTGACTACATAAACATAAGCTTTTGATAAAGGTGCCATGAATGTATACATAATAGAGAGCACTTTCAGCATCTGCTGTAATCTGAGAAAGTTTTATTTGTAATTTGTTAGGCTATAGGCTTGAAGATTCCACTAGCAGTTTGAATATCCATAGCCTGACCAGACAGAAGGAACATCAAACTTTTCCACCAGCAGCTCAATGATTTATGGGAAGGTGTACTACCATTAGACTTCAAACTGTATGCAGTTAGTTAAGGTGAATTTGAATGAAATTATTATCAGAGTTCCATAATCACAAGCACATCCTCTTTCTTTTTCATTAAGTTTACCTCAACAGGGACTTCCTTCACATATGGTGCTACATTTTTATAAATTTTTGAATAAAGTTCTGTTGTATGTTCACTGCTCTTCCATACACCTTCATCGATGGTATAATAAACCACACCACCAACTAAACCAACTTTAACTCCAAACCTGGAAAGAAAATAGTGATTTGTCTTATAATGATAATATTCCAGTATCAGCATAATTTTTAAGACAATCGAATATGGGTCATAATATTAATACAATATAAATTACATTACTTTCAAAACTACACTACTCACATAATCATTATCACCATTATGCATATTATCGTCTAAGTTTCCTACGTAGTCTACGCATATTACATGCGACCTCACTGATGCAGAATCTACTGTACTACCACGAATAAATATGCATCTCTCACTTAACCTATGAACGGATCCCTCAGAATTACGAGGCCATATTTTTTTCTTCTCAAGCAAGTATTCGTTAAAATTGTCTTTCACTGTGTTAGAGGAAGGCCACATTGTGTTCATCTATACATCATATGCTAACAGTACCAATGACAATGTATATTTGAGTATCAATATTATCTGTAAAAATTATAAAATGGACAGGGGAATATGCATACAAATTTTATCTAAATAGTCCAACTTGATTTTCGTTCCAAACGTTTAGTATTCTTATATTATGCCTATGAGTACAAACTGTATAAGAAAGAACTATATTTCATACATACTTTAACAAACGATATGCCATTTTACAAGCTTTCCTAAACAACCTTTCCTAACGGCCATTTATATCGATTTATAAACTTGCATGAAAGACGATATGAACCGTGCAATATACTTCTGCTGTTCATTCGACCCAATAGTACGATGATAAGCACAGAAAGTATACTTACCCTTGATTCTGGTAATACTCTCATCTGTGGGCGGTACTGACGGGAGCGGAGTTGATTTGGGTGTTGGTGTACATTTGTGTTTATTTCTGCCAGTGCCGGTTGTAATGCGTAAATTATTTTTGCATAAAGCCTGGTTTACTTGAGTTTCTGAGATTTATATGCTTCGGAAGCGCTGAAAAGTGTAAGTATATTCAACACGTCTATAAGTATGATGGACACATCATGTTTCAATAGTGAGGTCACAAACCGTGTCGATAAATATTCAGTGTTCGTTGGCAGTTTCAGCTCGTGTGCTTTCCTGGCTGAATCTATTATATTTGCTCATCAGTTCTATGCACATAATTGTTTAAGTAATTTTGCCTACTTCATAAGAACGAGTCGGTTTTGTCAGATTAGACCTAAAATGCTGAATCTTTCAACATAGAGAGAAGCATGGCGGATCGCAAAGCAGAACTTGAAAGGAAGAAGGCAAAATTGCAGGCCCTTCGTGAAGAGAAAGAAAGACGTCGAATTGAAAAAGCACAGAAAGATGTAAGTAGAACTTGACTTTTACCTTAAATTTGAAAAGAGAACTGTTTGAATTACAGTATACTAAGTTCATGTATGTCCATTTTTCAGGCCGAGGAGGTTGCAATTAGAGCTGTCAGTTCTGAAAAGGATCAGCGGAAGGAACTGGACCAAATGTTAAGCTCACTGGGTGTGGCACCGGTTTCAGATGTCCTTTCGAGCCTTTCCAGTCTGTCAAGTCTGACACCAGAACAGAGTGCAAATGGCACTCCTGACTCCAGCCTGCAGCTACATACAGCACCTCCTGCTGCCTCAAAGTAAGTGGTTGTTAATAAGTTCATGGAGAATTCTGATAATTGTCATAAATAAAATAACCCTAGATTTTAAGTAAAGGGTTTTAATATTTACTATAATAATTTCATATCCATCACATGGTATACTAACTATTTAAATGTACAGCGCTAAGCCTAACACCATAAAATAAAATATTCTATAATAATCTGGTATAGAAGGAACAAATTTTGAGCAAAGTTACCAGCTTTCATGAAATTGGAATTTAATTTTATTAAGTGGGTGGGCATGTGGATTGCATATGTTAGATTCAAGGTTTTCACAGGAGTGACTTTTGTAATGTGATGTAGTCAGGTAAATTATAAGACTTTTGCCTCCATCTTCAGAGTACTACCCTGCCACAGAAGACTACAAAAATCTCCAATTGTCAAAGTTATGAAGTGGCAGAAAATTATTTTTGTTTCTTGTTTATTATGGAATTTAGAAAAATGGCCTGTGTGTTGCTATCATGTCAGAATTTATATATTTGACATACTGGTATTCTGACATGGAATGTTAGGTGGGTCCCTTCTCACCATGGTATGGCGCATCCTCAGGTTGTAGATGGAGGAGACACCCTCTGGATATGGAGGGAAGCAGTGAATATACTGAGTAAGCAGTCACAGAGAGACAACAAGGGGTGGTCCTTCAGCTTGGGGGTTGAGCATTGGGCTCACCATAAAAAATAAGCTTTTTATGAAAATATTCAAAAAGCTTCGGACCTGGATGGATTCTGTGATTAAAGAAATAAATGGAAAAGTGTTGGGGAGAATATTTGGACCAAAGAGAGATGAAGTGACAGGAGGTTGGGGAAAACTGCATAATGAGGAGCTTCATAATTTATATTCTTCTCCAAGTATAGTTAGAATGATCAAGTCAAGGAGGATGAGGTGGGCAGGGCATGCAGCATGAATGGGGGATAGGAGGAATGCATATACGATATTGGTGGGAAAGCTGGAAGGAAGGAGACCACTGGGAAGACCAAGACGTAGGTGGATGGACAATATTAAAATGGACTTTAGGGAGATAGGATGGTATGGTATGGACTGGATTGATCTGGCTCAAGATAGGGACCAATGGAGGGCTCTTGTGAACACAGTAATGAACCGTTGGGTTTCATAAAATTCTGGGAAGTTTTCAAGTATCTGTACAACTGGCAGCTTCTCAAGAAGGGCTCAGCTCCATGAATGATGATGATAATGATGGTATTTAGAAGTTCAAAGATGAGTAGGCTTCCAGTGGCACAGCATTGATGCCAGGGTCAGTGTGTGCCAACTTGCAAGAAAGGAAGGAAATGGTAGACCGTAAACTACCAACATAAACAGTTAAATTAAATATTTTTATATATAACAAAATATGACATTAAGTTTTTTATTTAAACAGTTATGTACAAGACAGTGTTCTCAGGAGTAGGACATAATGATTTGAACATGACAATTTTTGCAAGTAAATTATGTATAAGTCAAGAATTAAAAACGTGTTCTGACTTGGGAGTTTTTGTGCTGTCCAGGTGAAACACATTCACTAGTGTTTCTTCATATTCCTTTATTGGACACTACATATTTTAGTCTAGGTGGCCATCTTGAGGTGTACAGGAAACCATATTACAGCGAACAGCAGAATCCGTAACCATAAGAACCTGTACACCTCAAGATGGCCACCTAAACCAAAATATGTAGTGTCCAATAAAGGAATACTGAGAAAGAATAGTGAACGACATTGCACGTACACAACACAAAAGCTCTTAAGTCATATCTATACAGTGCAACAGGATGCTGAATTATAACATAATTAAAAACATGTTTTGTTTATCAGTTGTATTCTTTATATTAACACTTTGCAGACCGGTGGCATATTTTTATGCCCAGTGCTTTTAAATGTGGTGAACCGGCGGCATATTATTATGATTTGAGGACATGTTAGATTGTAACACACTATACCTCACTCTGGCACCACCCAAATGAATGACTGCTACGTAATATTACTCCGGAATGTTTGGTTAGTAGGCAGTAACTTGACCTCACTGTTTTGGTTCCCCCTCCAAAGGAAAATGATCTTTGACCCTTCAAGCTCTTATGTACCAGGCAGGAAGTTAGTGCAATATGAATCAAGGACAGAAGTGGTTGAACACCAAGCAATCTCTCAGAGAAAAAGAAATATCTGACCTGTTCTCCAATGATCTATCTGATGTGCCTTGTGAGAGGAGTAGTGAAAGTGATTCAGACAATGGCAGTGACAGGGGACAACAAACAATTGTGGCCACAGACAATAAAAGTGAAAGTAGCTCCAAGGAAAGTGCAGGTAGTAAAATTGCGGGGACAGCCACATGGGGAAAAGTGGACAAAGCGCCTACTTTGGGACAGTTTACTGGAAACCCAGGGGTGAAACAAATTCCATTGGACCAACACAAGTGTCTGAAGTAGCAGAACTGTTTTTTGGAGATGTGGATACTCGTGTTGTGAATATGATTTCCACAATTTACAATTTGAGCATGGTTGATGTTCAAAGGAGACATGGACAGGTAAAGAAGTCTGTCTGTATTTCTGAGTATAAAATGTTCATGAAGGGAGTTGATAGAGTGATCAATGCTTGTCCTATTATTCTCTTCCTAGGAAAATAATAAAGTGGGCAAAGAAAGTTGCCTTTTGGCTTATAAATTGTGCCATTTTCAATTCATTTTTGGTTTACAAAAATCTAAATCCTGATTCAAAATTGAAATACAAAGCATTTCTGATGAATGTGGCAAAGGCCTGGGCTACAGACCAGATGGTGGCGGCAGAACCAGAGTCAGGCACAGACTTAGTGCTACCGGGCCCATCAACTCCGACCCCTCGCAGTCCTCATGTAGACACCCCTGGGCGACTCTCGGGTGATGTGCGGAAACATACCCTCGTGAAAATTGTGAAGAGTGAACATTCCAAGGGGAAGCATCCCTCTAGGCAGTGCTGTGTTTGCACAGTTCACAAAAAAAAAGGAGTATGACTGTCTACATTGCAAGTTCTGTGTAATGCCACTTCACAAAGGGGAATGTGTCCAGAAATATCACACTCTCAAGCACTTCTAGAAGCATTGGTAAGTGTTCTCCAAAAATTTTAATTCATAAAATTAGTTAGGAGATTTTATATTAATTTTTAAAGTGAACAGTGCACAAGTTAGGGTAGCAGTTTTAAAAATGCCGGTCCCCAGGGCGATTTAAATATTTAAATTGGCAGTCTGCAAAGTGTTAAACAGCCTGTAATTTCTGTGTATTTTCTGTCTAGGTAAAGTGAAGTGTGTAGTTCAGGAGAGTGCTTTCTGGAATGTTTGAGAAAGGAGCTTAACCTAATACCAAACCTAACCAAAAATCTTAACCTAACATAACCTTCATTTTATAGTTTTAGATGAACACTTAAGGCACCAGAGGCTATGTTATGTTAAGCTTTGTGGTTTCAGGTAGGACTTTCATGAAAGTTATTATTTTACAGTATTTTCCATTATGGAATATGTGACAGATTAGATTATTTCTTTGCTCTTGTGTAAAATTTTGAATTGTGAATGTTCAGTGTGTGTGGTATTAGATATCTTCAGTTCTTGTACTCTGAAAAGATACAAATTTTTAAAGTAAACATGTTTAGATATGCTGTTAAAAGCTATCCCTGTAACAGGCCATGGAGGCCCATAGGGTTGTGAGACATTGAGGCTCCCATATTTTCTAGACAGCCCACAGATGACAGTGAGGTTGTGAGCCTTATGTGCTGGCAGACCATGTAAAGATATGAATTTTTAAAGTAAATGTTTTTAGATGTGCTGTTAAAAGCTATTCCTGTAACATGTCATGATGGCCCATAGGGTTGTGAGACTTTGAGGCTCCCACATTTTCTAGACAGTTGGCTCAGATGGCGGTGAGGTTAAGTAAAGCTATCCCTGTAACATGCCATGATGGCCCATAGGGTTGTGAGACTTTGAGGCTCCCACATTTTCTAGACAGCCCACAGATGGTGGTGAGGTTGTGAGCCTTATGTGCTGGCAGACCTTTACACCCAAGAAGATTCCTGACACTTACTTCTGTCAGAGACTGAGTCGACCCTAGGGCCATTGCGTGGCTGGAAGGATTAGGTCAATTGAAAAATCCATGACCTCATCAGATACCATATAACAAACTTCCACCCCAACAGAAACATTCAATAGAGCTACAAGCCACAAACCAAGAAAACCATAAGGCAAATACATGCATAGTAACTATTCAAGGACACCCAAATGAAACAAATGGTTTACCCACATAACCTAGACTCTGAGGAACTACATAAGAGAAACAAACCAGCATACAGTGAGCAGTGGATTCCCTTAGCACAGCAACCTATACACTTGCTGATGGTCAGTTAGGCCAAAACATGTAGTAACAAAAAAGAGAAAATGGCGAGAGAATGAATATTAACCAATGTTGCACATGGATTGTAAAAACGTGGGGTGCAGATCTATGGAGTGAAACAAGATGCCACAATTTAATATTCTTAAATAAACTGCAAATAAATAAGAAATAAATTGGCCATTTGTGTATAAAGCATGTTGTTGCTGTATGTTATGTATGCACTAGCAGAAAACAGTGACCCTCAGCTCCCTTACTGAGTACTGTTCGCCAGATTATTATGTGTAGTCTATTTTTGTCACATCCTTGAACAGAATGGCTCACTTGCTGCTCTTCTCCATACAGTTTGAATCATCTGGTGAAAACTTCTGTTATTTAGCTGGCATTTTAATTAGCTTCAGGTGAGTAGAATGCAGTGTTAACTAAACAAAACAATGGCAGAGAATTGTGTACTTGCAGCAAGCGACGAGCCAGTCAGCTGAGTGTTGTCAGTGTGCAAAGTACCAATATTCCTCCACGTGAAATGGTCACATATGCCAAGCAGACACAGACTGTTTCCTCAGGCCATGAAAGGGACGGTGAGTACACGCCAGCTTTATTGTGTGTACGAAAGTGCACATTTGATTTTTATATGTGTGTACGTGTGTGTTCTTCGATTGTCAGTGTTTTGATTTTGTTTGTCACAATTATTGAAGAGCATAGGTACAATTTCCTGGACTTTATCCATTGTCTGACATTCTCTGAACCAGAATGAATCATTGTGTGAACTGGATCTGTCCCTGTCCCCTGATGAAGGAAAGATAAAAGTTGTCCCTGTGTTTAAGTAATTAAGCACTACACCATGAAGGCATATGGGGGAATGGGTGTATACATCCACATTTTCTTGGCCTTGGCACTAGTTGGAGATGAGTGGTCAGCTTAATACCCTGGCCGCTTTACTCCCAGGGAAAGAGCCCCTGGTACCCCTAGATGGACCCCAGATGACGATATGGAGAAGAGAAAATTCTTGACCCTACTGGGACTCGAACTCCGACCTCTTGGTCATCCAGCCTGTAGCTATCCCGGCTGACCTCCTAATGGCGGAGGGAAGGGGGTCCAGTCTGATAGATTCAATTGAATGGGTACCCTCCACCTGAGGATGGTAGCTGATGCAGCTCCTGAAACAGTGTGTTCTGTTTTTTAGAATATTAGACAATGGACAGAGTGCAAGAAACCGTTAATCTTTAATGTCATCATAATCGTGTAGAACTAATACATAGATACAATTTTTCTTTTTGTTTCTGTAACAGTTGTGTTGAATTTCACTATTTTATTCCTCTCTGATTTGTTTCCCTATATTATTATGCTGAATATATTTTGGGCATTGGACAGCGTCCACTGTAACTGAATGCACCCCTTAGAGACATTTGACTGAAGGAAGAATCTGTTACATGTAATCATACAAAATTACATCAGTTCATATAATATCCTCATGTTTTATGAAGTGCATAGGACATTGTCCTTCATTCCATGCAGATATGTGCTTGGTTTTGAAGTACAGGTTTTAATACCATACATTTTAACCATTTCCAGATTCTGATCTCTCTTGTTCTAAGCAATTAATTTTTTTTTTTTTTTTGTATTCTTCATTAATAATATTGGATTTAAAAGTTCACTTGAAGTTGTTAATATGATGTTCATGCAAGTTAAAATTGTGGAAGCCTAGGGACATCTGTCTTGTATTTTCCATGAACAGAAATACATGTCTGTCTCTGGATTGCTTATACTGATATTACTGAATGTGGTGTTCTAGTAATATAGCAAACCAGAACACTCATGGAGCACACATATGCTTTACCTGCTGCTTATGATTGATTTTCAATATAAAGAGCCATTTTCATGAAGTTGCAGCACAAATTAGTTTTGTTTAAATTCGTGACATGGGCAGTGGAACCTCGCTACCCTGAATTTAGAAATATGATGACTTACAGTGAAAGAAATTTGTGTATTGTTAAAAGCACATATTTGAAATAATGAAACTGGAAGCGATCACTTGTATGGTTTTATGGATGGCTCATAGGTCTGGGGTTAGTGGTACTGAGTTGTGTCAGTGTAGATTTTCTGTGTGCTCTTCGCATTGTTGGTATTTAGCTGCAGAGGACTTGATGAAAAGCGTTTAGGTGATCACAAGTGGACCTTAGAAGAGGTGATGAAAAATATTTTAGCAGCCACTTTTTGTTAACCATATGGGCACTCCCTAGTGGATAGAACTCCTTGTTTCATGTAATTGCAGCTCCATCTGGCGCTCACGGCCCACTGCACACTGCAAGATCAGTTATAATTTCTGCCAAGTTGTAGCCCCAAAGGTGGAAACTGCACAATTTGCCAATACATTGGAAAAGATTCAACTTTCTGAGCAGCACATTCCTGAAAGCCAAAATCATACAGTCCTGTATTAGGTGTGGAAATGAAAGTCATAGCGAATGAAGCTGGTTTGAGTCTGCTCGAGACCATGTAGATTTTGTGTTGAACATATCTGATTCAGGGCTGATTCTCGTGTTGCTCTTGCATTATCTTTCTGCTTACATGATTGTTAGTGCAATAAATAGTGTTCAGTAGCTGCAGAGTAGATCAACTTAATAATGAAAAGGAAGGATACTTTGCAGTGCAGTGGCTCTTCAGAACAAAATACTTCAGCAAGTTTTCTGAATAATGAGTGCTGAGACCGGTTTCAAAATCCCAGCAGTTTATATGGTGTTATGATGCTGTTTTTTTTGCAGTTCTTTGTTCCAGTATGGTTCATTTATTGTTATGCATTGATCAGTTTAAAAATTGTTCTATCTTCTTGAAGCATATTCTCACCAGAAACTCATTTAGAGAGGGATACTTAAGAGGTTCACACCTCCCAAGATTGTTTGTGATAGTGTCAGAATATTTTTTCCTGACAAAAAATATGTTAGAAAAGAAAGATGCTATGATACCAAGTATCATACTGTAATAATAATGAGTGTGCACTTGATTTCTTGTTTGCTTATGTTCACATTACATTCCTTGTATGATATATTGCAATCAATAAGATGCTATTACACACTAATATACTACTCTGTCCAAAAAGTATCCGACCTTGGGCCAGGAAAACGAAGTTCTGTATCTGGGTGGTTAAAGTACCTAATCCCCTTCAAAAGTAGGCCCCTTGTGACTCCACACACTTAGCCCAGTGGTCCTTCCATAGCTGGAAGCAATTCTGGAAGGCTTATTCTAAAATGGTGTGCAGCTTTGCCATCACGTTCTGTATGATGTCCTGGTGGCTGTCAAAACGGGAGCCTTTTAGCAGTGTCTTCAATCTTGGGAACAGCCAGAAATCATAAGGAGCCATGTCAGGAGAGTAGGGAGCCTGGCGAACCTGCAGAATGCCGTGCTTGGCCAGGAAACCCTGGATCAGGTGTGATGAATGAGCTGGGGCGTTGTCATGATGCAGCTGCCAGTTTAGTGCATCCCACAGCTCCAATCTCTTGCGCTGAACTGCATCACAAAGATGGCGGAGGACTTCTTGGTAGTACTCCTTATTGACAGTTTGGTCTAGTGGAGCATACTCATGATGCACAACACCCCGGTAATAAAAAAAGCAGTCAGTATCACTTTCACATTGATCTGAACCTGTCATGCTCTTTTGGGCCTCAGTGATGTTGGATGCTTCCATTGTGATGCCTGGACCTTGGTTTCCAGGTCATATCTATACACCCACGACTCGACACCGATGATCACAGTTTTCAGGAACTCAGGATCCCTGTTGGCGCACTCCAGCATGTCCTGCACGACCTCAAGGTGGAGTTGTTGCTGCTCTGGCAAAAGGAGCTTTGGCACAAATTTGGCCTCCACTCTTGGCATGCCCAAATCTTTAGTTAAAATTGTGTTTGCGGAACCTCTGCTGATCCCAACCTCATCAGCAACTTCCTGGATGGTCAAATGATGGTCCTCCATGATCAGTGCCACACTTTTTCCGTGACCTCAGCATTTCAGCTAGTTGAGTCTCCCGGAACGCTGGTCACTGTCCGCCAACATATGGCCATCTTTAAAGTGGTTGAACCACTCTTTAATTTGAGTGACCCCCATTGTGTCATCGCCAAAAGCCTGCTGAATTTTGCGGATTGTTTCTGCTTGGGTATCCGCAAGTTTCTGACAAAACTTGATGCAGTATCG